GATTTACTAAACAAGAACTGATTGTGTAAGAAAAATAATCTTGTTTTCAGGATGTGTAAGATTATTTGTCTTGTTAGCCTGAAAATTTGATTCTAATTAAGTCAAAATATCTGCCAATGGAGTAAGAAAGTTTTACTGGGTAAGATTCTTTCTCAAGTATTTCAAGAATCTTACCAAGTAAAAATTTCTAACTCCATTCGCAGAAATTTTTGACTTAATTAGAGTCAAATTTTCAGGCTAACAAGACAAATAATCTTACACATTCTGAAAACAAGATTATTATTCTTACACAATCAGTTCTTGTTTAGTAAACCTGTCTCAAAACAAGATCAAAAAGACTTTTTGGCTGGATATAAGGTTTTAAATCTTGGTAAGATGGACAGTTTTTGCACTGCTGCACATGTGGAACACTTTAAAACAGAGAAACCAAATGTGTGGCAATAGTCCAGTTTCAAATATGTGGRCTTTAAATATAAAAAAGTTAAATAATGGGCCTTTTATTTTATCTTTCTCAATCAAAGTGACATTACTGCTAAAGCAGGCTTTAGCCTCTACAATCACACATTATCAGTAAAACAACATGAGAGGTTTATGACAGCGTGAGTTGTTCAACCAGTGTGAGCGACCACATGAGACACACAAACATGAACAAGATCTTTACAGAATTTGAGATACTTCACTCCGAACGGGAAAGTGGCACCAAAGAATCAGAGTGAGAGAGTRGGTAAAAAGGGGTGCATTGGAGAAGGGGCCCTAAAGAGGGGCGCAGATCGAGGGAATGAAGAGCAAACTGAGGGGAAGTTGGCACAGAGACATGCTGGATTCCAGGACAGCGTCTCTTAATTAGGCTGTTGTCAGGGGGGATTAAGCCGCTAACAACGAGCGTCTCGGCTGGAAAGGACGGCGTGCACGTGGACGTGCATGACAAGATGTACACGTTTGCTCGCCTTATCGCCTGCCTTCACCTCTGACATAAGTTTAACCAAAGTTAAGTTCTAACCAAACCAGCGTCTATTGTGCTCTTTGTGCTCGACCACCTTAATTATTCTGTCAGTCTTAAAACCATCACAGRAAAATCCTTTCACGAGAAAAATGTCAGCATGGGTGTGCAAAAATGTTCAGTAAGTGCACTTGACTTGGTAATTGACTATGGTAATTGAATGGTCATTATGATTAAAATAAATCTATAACAGTTCGTTTTCTATTCATCCCGTCCTTCAGGACCAAAAAGCTGCTTTTGATGATTTTGTGTTAACGCGTGGCTTTACAACCATTTCCTCCTCCTTTCAGGTCTTTTCTTTTCTCCCATTAGTCAAGCCTGGTCAGCCTTTCAGCTCAGACAGTCCACACATTTAAATCACATGTAAATCTGACCGCACACCTTTGTTATTCTATAATGGTGATTTTACACAAAGAGGTGAATTAGACCACCTTTTTGTCTTCCCCAGCTTCTATCAGAAACTGGGCTTTTACTGCTCTTATCGCCACAGTGTTTTAAAAAAATTTAATCAGTATTTTCTTTTTATTTTCCATCTCCTATTGTACATTTCTTTTCAGCAATATATGACAAGACAAAACTGGGTGCATTAGTCACAGATAGATCCAAGGAACAAGTGAGTCTAAAGGCAAATTCAGAACAATCAATCTAAATAAATTGATTTGATTCTTTTCATTAATTTTCTTGATGAGGCAGCACAAGATTTGTAAAATTTACTAGAGGTGTCAAAGACAAGAACATCACAGCGAGGCATGAAAGCTAACTACCGTATTTATCCGTGTATAATACGATCTCGTGTATAATACGACCCCCGCTTTTTTGAGCTTAAAAGCATAAAAAAATTTAATCCTCAAACTACCTCCAGTTTCATGCAGACTTCAAGATTTTTCAGTCTTTGCAGTCTTTGTACGTA